ATCTTTCAAATGAGACCAATATTGTCTATGTAATTTTAACATATTATCGAACTATTATATTAACCATTATTAAATTATAAGGAAAAACGAGCGTGTATATATATGTAACTTTACATGCGATATAGATATTGGTTAATACTCCTAATACACGTTCGATAAATTGCCTCATTATTGGTAAAAAAAAGGGATCCACTTTTCAAATACAACTTCAACTAGTGGAATTTTCCAAATACTACGTTGGTGTACCGTCCTCATCATGGGACGGTCCCACGGTAAAATTTGTGTGTAAAAATATGTAATTTTACGTGTAAAAATATGTAACTCACGTTCAGTCAGGCCAAATGCAACTCGTGTGTATAAATATGTAACTCTACGTGTAAAAATATGTAACTTTACGTGTAAAAATACGTAACTCGCGTTCAGACAGGTTAAATGCAACTCGTGTGTAAATATGTAACTCGCATGTATAAATATGTAACTTTACATGTAAAAATATGTAACTTTACGTGTAAAAATATGTAACTCGTGTTCAGGCAGGCCAAATGCAACTCGTGTGTATAAATATGTAACTTTACGTCTAAAAATATGAAATTTTACGTATAAAAATATGTAACTCACATGTATAAATACATAATACAATAAATTTTTTATATACACAATTTTAAGATAAATTGTGATTTACACAATTATTTTTCAGTATTAAATTTAGTTCAATTTTCCTTATAATCCAATAATCATTAATATAATAGTTCCATAATTTGTTAAAATTACATAAGCAATATTGGTCTCATTTGATAGATCATGAAAAATAAAAAAATATATAAAATTTATAAAAATCGGATATGAAATAAAAAAGTTATTACAATTTTTAACAACAAAAGGAATAGAAAATAATGGGACCCAATGTTATTTTTGGTACGGAGCTTGCCAAAAATAAAGACCGGTATACGGTGCTCACCGTATACCGGTCATAGTACTACTCTCGCACAAGCACACTTAACTTCGGAGTTTTGATGAGATCCAGTGCATTATATTAGTGCTGGTATGATCACATCCGTCATGTGTGCTCCTCTTGATGTATTTGTTCCTCACTTGTGCTGATGGGCTCGTGCATGATCTGCTCCAACCGCGAGCCATAATCTCCCCACAGGATGGAAATCTTTCATGAATTTGAACTTTTTATATCAAGAAATAAATCATCTATATACTTTTTAACTACAAATTGTCAAATATAGGAAGGGAAAAGGTTGAAAATTCGGTGGGTGGAGTTGGAGAGGCCCGACATTCCGACAATACCCACCTATGATGCCATCTTTCACATGATGTCATATCTGCGTATCTCATACCGATATTCATCAATACGCGTTCTGTACGTATTGGGTCCGTATTCTTAATTTAATATTGGACTTATTTTTAAAAATACGAATACTTCCCATACCCATAGCTGACCGTATAACCCTGATTTTATACAAGATTTGACAAAAATTTAGGAGTCGCTCAAGCGACCACAAGATGCGGAACATTGATAAAGATGATTTCGGGAGTATGAAAAATATTAGAATACTATAATTTGTTATTTAGTCACTTGATGAACTTTAATTGAAATCGGTCTTGTTAAAAGACTTAGATGTAAATGTAAATAGAGAACCAAAAATATTTCGGAGTATTTGAATTTCAATCGAAATATCATTACAGCCATTACTTTAGTTTTTTTAGTCAACTTTTATTGTTAATTTTTTGTACTACTATTATTTTATTTATAAACCTCTGAATTATACGGAATATATATTTGCAAATTATACCCTATATTAATATTATCCATAAATATACCCTCGTACCCCACCAAAGGTGGGAGCGTTTGCGGCATAGGGGTAATGATGATGATATAAATATACTCTCGTACCCATATCTAGAGATGGCAATTGTGACCGATCTGGTGGATACCCGCACCGAATCGCCCCGGTCAAATCGGGGGAAACCGCATTGACCGGGTAACAGGTATGGGGCGGGGAATACCCGTTTTGTTTTTACGGGTAATGGGGCGGTTACGGTTTTATACATGTCCGCCCCATTACCCGCCCCGTACCCGCCCCGTTTATTTTTAGTTATATTTTTATTACATTCTCATCTATTAGTTGTCCCATTTTCATTGTGTATATATCAATGACAAATGTACTAACTCTAGTGTACGAACGAAAGTTCATAATAGATCTTAATAGTCTTGTCTTTTTTCTCGTCTTGTAGATATGTGAAACTTTAAAGTGGCGTTTGAGTCTAGAGTCGTCTAGGTGATGCCATTTTTTGCTCTTTAAAACATTATTTTTATATTAAAATACCAATGACACATTTAATAAAGTGATTACCCGCGGTTACCCGCGGTTACCCGCGGTTATACCCGTTACCCGTTGGGGCGGTTATGGTTTGGGTAAAAATTACCCGTTGGGTAATGGGGCGGTTATGGGGCGAGGGAATTACCAAACGGGGCGGGTACGGTTATATGTAAAACCGTCCCCGATCCGCCCCGTTGCCATCCCTACCCATATCCTATAATTTTTAAAATTGTCGTATCACCGTACCCGTATTTGCGTATCGGTGTATCGACGTATCCGTATCCATGCAACATAGATAGCCACCACTAAATCGACCTCTCTTTAATGTCCAAAAACACAAAAAACTGAACTTCTGTAGCAAAGGGACTTTCACAAGATTAAAAGTCAATTATTCTACAAAAAAGAAAGAATAAAAGTCAATTATTCTATTAAAAAAAGAGAATAAAAGTCATTTTCCACAAACAGTTAAAATCATTGAAGAAAGTTATCCCTCGCCATAATGGCCTCGTTTGTTTTTCGGCTGCTTGATACCCACCCGCTGCAAAATGCAGCGTTTCTACTTATAAAAAGAATAGTGGTTTGTGTAAACCGCTGCTATCCAAACGGTGTCAATGTGTCATAACGCCAAACACATGATTATGGAAACATAGGGACGCTCGAGTCTATAGAAAAATATTTTCGTTTTGTTGGAAGCAGTCGGAATGGAAGCCTTAAAATAGCTTAATTGATTGCAAGATTGGCGACATAGAATTCTCATTTACCCAACTACCAAGTTGTTTCCATTGGATCCTGACTTTCAGACGAACAAATGGTGATTCATATTATGTTTCAATTCTATGAGCTAGGATGAAATTAAAATGTACTTCCTAGGTGAAAATTAAAATCTAATTTTAGTCATTCATGTGATAAAATGAGCTGTGATCACAGAATAATTCACAAAATGGTGCTCGAGTCAGGGGCGGAGCCAAGGAGGGTCAAGGGTGGTTAGTTGACCCCCCTAAGAGTTTGAGAATATATAGCTATGAAATATTCATTTTGATATATTATGGTTTTTGTAACTCATTACGAGTAAAAAATTATGAATTCTACAAAATCAGTAATATTTAAGCTTAAAATTAGTAAAATTTGATGCATAGTATTAATTATATTCCCAAAATAGTGTATAATTCACTCGTTATTTACGCGAAATGATTTAGGACAAAGCAAAGACAACTTATGTTACTGCTACGAGTGCCTACTCAATACTCGATTCTTTTCTAGTAAGAAATCTTGATATTATATCGAGTGAGAGGAAAACTATAGATTACTAGGGTAATTAAGACAAAGGGTCTCATCCAAGGTAGTCACCGGTGCAGAAACCCATCGACTAAACCCATAAAAAAATTATATTGTATATGACATATATATCAACTATATAACTCGATTAGTTTCGTATAAACTACAATTTATCCAAATGACATTCAATTCAGGTATTGTCTAAAAATAATTTACTGTTTTCATTCTATGTAAAATTGATCGAATTTCGACCCCCTGAGTCATTTTCTAGCTCTGCCTTGACTCCAGTCCATGCAAAATGATTGCATGTAAAATATCATTTCTGTGCAAAATATGAATATATTGTTTGGTAAGATGTGCATTTCATTTTTAAATTACATCCAATTATCCAAAGTATTTACATTGTTTGGTTGAAAAATGCTTAGTATGAATGTCTAAAGTACCTTTATTTTAATTAAAGGGTCGACACTTGCCAACAATGCAGACAGCCGTCTTTGAGATATGCATTATAAGCTACTCTATAAAATAAAAATAAAAAGAATTTAAAAATATTAGGCCAATAAAATTTTAATTTCAAATAAACACAGCCTAAAAAATAAGAATGGTAAATCTTTTACCTGGATTGATTCAGCCGCTGTTTGGAAAGATGGAATTGTGAAAGCAATTATATGATCTCTTCTACTTTACTTATATTTGTTGGAACGAAAGTAGGTTACCATCAATTGAATGCTCTTTTTCGTTTCTGCCGCCAAATAAAGTGATGAGGATTAGGAATGTAAAACTGTAAAGGGACGTACTCCCTCCGGTTTTGAAACTTTTACACTTTTCATTTTTACACTTTTCATTTGTACACTTCCTTATTTGCCTTATTTGGCAAATAAATCTACACAAAACAGTGTCAAACAGTGTCAAACAATGTTTATTTCCTTAAAAACTGTGAAGTCAAAATGTCAAGATCTTTTGAAACTGGAGGGAGTATTTTATAATGCATGTGTAAATTATTTTACCACCCTCACGTAAAATAGTTTATATGGTAGAATGTAAATAGTTTATCACTAAACTTTGCATTCAAATATTTGCAAAACTTTCTCATTTTGATAGTCTTCATTTAAAATTACCTTTACTTTTCTACTTCATCTTCTCTTTCATTTTTTCCCATCATTATCTCCTACTTTTTCTACATTAGTAACTACTCATACTATTTTACCTTTAAGCTTTACAAAAAGCCTAATGTAACAAAAATATGGAGTATTATATTCTTAAATTTATCACTAAAGTGAATGAGTAAACTAGTAAAGACAAGAAGATGAGAGGGTATACTTGAACTTTTGTTTTAGCATTCCCTAAATCATTTCCTGAACCTGCTCCTATAATTGTCCTTCAACAATATGCATCAAAGAATCAAAGAAAATATTCTGCTTTGTGACCAACACAAGAAAATCAAAAAAGAGTTCAATGCTAGGGAAAAACTTTTCCGTAAACAAACGGAGCCTTAATCAATTAGCTTCAACTAGGACAAAGACTTTCTCCAAGAAAAGAGACCAATACAACATAAGGTGGAGAAAGAACAATGTCAAGCAATGATACTCCCTCCGTTCCCAAAAATACTTCCCACTTTCCTTTTTGGGCTGTTCCCAAAAATACTTCCCACTTTCCCCTTTTGGACAATTTGTGTGGCTCACATTCATTTTAACTTTTTCTTACACAACCACAACCATACATTTTCACTTTGTTCCACTTTCTTAATAAGCGTGCCAAGTCAAACCGGGAAGAATTTTTAGGAACGGAGGGAGTATCATTTATTACATGCACATCAAATATCACCCACCATCTACAAGACCTCAGGTCTAGCTATTTAAGTCAAATATCTGCTCTACCCTAGCAGAAATTTAATTTACAGTCATGCTAATATTGCAATGACCATTTTTATGCATCTATCATTCGAAAAACAAAACTACTACAAAACCATTTCCAAAAACAAGTTACAGTCTAAGATCCAGTCGCCCACATCCCTCAAGCGGACCTTTGTTTAGACTGCGTCGGAACACCAAACTTCTGGATCCTTTGGAGAAGACCCTGACCCTTTTTATGTTGATCTTGTTGAAACAATATCGAACTAGGTACCTGATTTAGGGTTCCATCGTTTGCAAGAGAAGACTCGAACTGCTCTAAGACCTTCACGATCTGTGAAAACTCGGGCCTCTTGTCGGGTTGCAGACACCAACATTGCTCAATCAAAGTTTTCATTGAAGGAGGACAGTCCATGGGAATTGTTGGCCTCGTATTCTGTAATCATAATTGTATAAAGATCATGCAAGTGATAACAATACTACAGCACTTGAAAGGTCTACATTAAACTATGGTGTTATCATCGGATTTAGTCCTCTAGTTCCATATTTAGCCCCACCTTTGGTTTGACCACATGTCTACCTTTGTAAGGAAACCAATATATTAACCAGAAAAGCATGGATTTTGACTGCGATAACTTTGACAATTTTCAAATGGACAAACCAGTTGAATTTGTTCATGAAGGACCAACTTCGGAAAGAACATGAAAGTCAAGTATATACTATTATGAATTAGGGTTCTATGCCAAAATGTAAACCAGAACAAATTATTAGTTAGTACTTAAGTAGCTCTAATGTCATAATAAAACTTTAGATTTAATATTTAGGGTTAGATACAAACTGTCAGAGGAGTAATTCAATAGCTCCTATGTGAGTTTCTATCATTTATACCTCAAAATCTTTTGGGATTAAGGCCTGGATGTTGTTGTATTTTTACTATCTGAAACTTTGTTTTGGTCGAGGCTTGACCAGATAAAATTATTAGTAAAGAACTTAAGTAGCTCTAATGTCATATTAAAATGTTAGATCCTAATAGCAGGTCAACTGAGTAATTTAGAGTCTTATATGTGATTTGTATATATTTGGTCAATCTAGGATCACTTAAGCATAAACTAGACCAATTTGAGTTCTAAATGGAAAATACACAATCGACAAAATAGTGGAGGATGAAATCTAGTATTAACCCTTAATCTTAACATATGATGCGGGCTTATTAATTTCTTCTCATTAAGAGGCCATTGAAAACCAACATACTATGCTACAAGATAGAAATCTTATAAAAGGAGAAGGGGGAGGGGGGGGGGGGGGGGGAGGAAAAACTTTGCCAGCTTATTACCTTGTTGACTACAGCAAAAGCAGCTTGCACAGAAGTCATATCTTCATACGGGATGAAACCAGTGACCATTTCCCACAAAATGAGTCCAAAACTGTACACATCAACCTTCCTTCCATATGACTTGCGTTTGATCATCTCAGGAGCCATCCATCGGTAAGTGCCCGGATCATCAACCAGAAGATCACAATAGGCTTCCTCACAAGCTATGCCGAAATCAGCAATCTTTAGCCGGAAATCCTCATTGATGAGTATATTCTCCGGTTTGAGATCCCTATGAATGACTCCCTGAGAATGAATGTACTCCATCCCACTAGCTATGTCCAATGCCATATCAACCAGTTTTGCTAAAGGGAGAGATTTGTGATCAAGCTTGTGAAGATATGATCTGAATGAACCCTCAGGTAGATATTCTGTAATTATGCAGAAAACACGTGGCTTTCTGCACGCACCTACAAACTGCATCAACACATCATTAATAATTATCCCAATTTGAATGAGAGTGGATAAACTCTAAAACTTGATCTCCGTTTGATAGATATAAAATATTTTCCCCAAGATTTCTCTGTTATTGATTTTCTCCTTTTTGTAGGTTTAGCTTTTTGTACAAGTTCTTTATATTACAGATATTGTTTTCTCATTCAAGCACTCATTGATATTTTTAAAACTAATCTGCTGCTTTTTTAATAAGCCTTATAACTATTTTTATCTGCTTAATGGACTTTTAAATCTTGCTAACAAATGCTTCAAAAAAACTGCTTTTATTTCTCTAAAAGCACTTCATGAAAATAAGTCATTCCAAATTTACAGCTTAATTTACAGAAAACATATTCCATAGCAACTTATTTTACAGCAGTTAGACATAACCTTGGTCTGCACTACGTAATCAAAGCATCTCACTTGCAGAGAAATCTGCACAAGTTATACTACAGAGTATTTACGAGAATGTGTACATATATACTCCCCTCCGTCCCATTTTGTAAGATACACTTTCCTTTTTAGGTTGTCCCAAAAATATGATCACGTTCCTAAAGTAAACTAGACTAACTTTTTACTTTCCCACTTTATCCCCTTATCTATCATTTACCTTTTACTTTTTGTGGATCCATCCTACTTTTTCTTACTTTTTGAGGTTAGATAGTAAAATAACAAACCCTTCTCATTTATTTTCTTAAAACTTGTGCCAGACCCAAGTGTATCATACATTGAGGTAGTACTTTTTTATAAATAGGATATAAAAATAAGACCATCACAGTTTTTCCTGAAAAATGGAATCAATCACTCCTAAAGGATGAACTATTAAGTATTAAGCAGATCTAGGATTAAATAATGAGACTCCTATTTGTGCAAATGACTCATGATTTACTCCTGTCTGCAGGAATTGTTTTTTTAATATTAAAGGCTGAGCACACAAGCTGCAGCTATCTCCCATTTAATTATGGGTAATCAAATGGTTCCCAATATTAAATTACCTTAACAACATTTTGGTGATGGAGGCGAGACAAAAGTGTAACTTCTCTTATAAATTGGTTCTCCAAACGGAACCCTAAATTTCCATTTTCATCATCATCCGGGACCCTAATAATCTTGACTGCCACAGGTTCTTCCTTGTACTTCCCATGGTAAAGCTGACTATGTGCTCCATGTGCAAACCGAAGTCCAAGAAAAAGCTCGGTAAGATCAACCATATGTTCATCCACTGAATCTACAGAGGTAATTCTCCCTCCACTATGATCAAAACACTTCGTCCAAGCCGATTCCTTCCTTCCTTTTATCTTATCATGGAATTTCACCAAAGGGGAATTACGGCTCGGGCTAGAAGTAAAGACAGATTTCAAAATATGTGTCTTTGTTCCATTGGCCCCACCTTTATCGCGTTGCCGGAGTGGAGTTGAGAATCTTTGTTGGTTGGATTGGGCTTCTTTGAAGGTTTCAGGAAGTTTCATTTCCGGGAGTGGTGAGATAGCACGTTCTTTGTTTGTCAGATTTTTAAAAGTGGGTTTTGAGGGTTGAAGAATTCTGGTTGTTGGGTGAAAAGTGATAGGAGAGGAGGAGGCAAGCCTTGATGGACCTAATCTATGATAAACAGTTTGGGAGAATTTTGTTCTCCGTATCCAAGAACTAACCTCTTCATCCATCTTTCTCACTAATAAAACACACTCACAAATCTCATATCCTTCTTAAGGTCAGATGATGATGATGAAGGTTGAGATTCAAGAATGGGTCCCATACACAGAGTTTCTCCAAACCCATCAAACCAAACACTAAATATTATAAACCATAAGATACCCTTTTCTCTGATATCATCATCTACAGCAGAGATAATCAAGAATCTTTAACTATTGCAGAAAAGATCAGAGCTTTAACTCAAACCAATCCATCAAAAAATAAACCTACCAACAGCAGAGGAAGTCAAGCATCACCACCACCTTCCTTTCAAGCCTAGAAACCCCAAGATGATGAATACATTAACTAACCGCAACGAATAAGATGCACATAAAAAACATAAATCAAAGAATCGGGAAATGAAAATCGACAAGAAATTTATTATTATTTTTATAAATAAACAAAGGATCTGATGTTGTGTTTGCGAATGTACTTACCGTAAGGGACATCTTTCTTCAGAAACTGTCCTGTTCTTCACAAGAATCAGCAGAACAAGATAAAAAGAAGGAAAAAACCAATCTTGGACGCCAATGCTTCTTTTTCACACACTGCCTCATCTCCCCATCATAAAGCACCAACCTTTACAGGAAATTCAAAAGGGAAAAAGAAAAGGGGAATTATCAAACACCATTGAAATAGTCATAGTATTCTATTCATCTTATGACTCTACGTGGGTGCGTGCTCAAGACGGACTTCGCGTATGTGTGTGAAAAGCAGCTGTAGATGATTCCGGTGGACCCGGTATTTGTTGCTAATGTTGTGAGAGCTCGGGACCGGAGGGGTGCACCAGGGCGGTGGCGATGATGAGTGGGTCCCACGTGATAAGTCAAATATGAGAGTTTCCAATAAGGTTAAATTGCTTCTGTTTATTTCCCGGGTGAGAAAGCAATGTCGCCATCGGGAAAATGGGTGTACGGAAAATTAGGAGGAAAAAAATTACTTCGGGTTTTCTTTTTCTTTTAAATTAAATGTTGTTAATTTGTTATTATTATGTGTATGTATATACTGACGATATACGGGTCAGTGGTACGGTTCGCACGGTCACGAACCATTACTCGACATGGGTTGCCAAAATTGTCGTTACGCTTTCGAAGATTTCTTTTCCTTTTAATTATCGTTTCTTTTTGCACAGTATAATTCTGAAAATGAGAAAACATTAGCATAGCTCTACGCCTCTACCGTACCTTCACATTAGAATATGTTTTGGTGCATTATAACCCGCATGGGTAGCTCAGTTGATCGAGTGGTGGGAGATTTGGAACAATGAACCAAGGTTTGAATTCCCGCAGCGACCGGATGGAGGTCACAGAATCTGAAATAAGGCTGAGCCTCTGGTGCTCACGGGTGTATGGGCCTACTACCATTCTGCTGACTGAGTCATCGTGACTAACCTCCCCACCATCATGTCGGGTCAGGGTGGGAGGCTCCTGGGGTGGAAGATTCCACCTTTTGGAACAATGTTTTGGTGTATTATAAAGCTATTAACGAACCGAGCTTTAATCAAACTATTTGAGTTCGAGCTCGGTTTTGATTGGTAGAGGTCAACAGTTCGAATCCGTCCTCATGTTTTGTGAATTTTGTTTTTTCTTTTGCTCTTTTCAAGCCTTAAATTAAACCATTTAAAGTGACATTACATATTTTTATTTAGCTTTTGTCCCTTTGCAAATATTTGTATTCATAAAGTTTTATCATTACTCTTTTGTTCATAACATAAACTTATTTTTTTAATGTCCTTGCGAATTCGAAATTTAAATTTATTTGAAGTATATAGTTAAGCCTTCAATTTACTTATTTTATTCGCTTATTTATTAACATAATTTTGAACAAATTACAAAACACCTTGTGATCAAAATTTATTTATAACAAAGTGAAATTTATTTCTTTTGATTTTTGAAGTATGATATCATAATGATTTTGTCCAGTGAATATTCTATTATTTATGATTGTCGTTACAATTTTTTTCTTAATGTGATTAGTCGGTGACATTCGTGAGATAAAATCCAGGGAAATTGCCCTAAATAGACTAAAAATGTTTGTATATTCCAAAATAGGGCTATCATGTTTTTATTCTTGAAATAAAAGTAATTAATACCATACTTTGGCAATACCAAACTTTAAATATGACACTATTTTCCAAATTTGAAAGTAATTACTCCTATTTAGAGAATAAAACCATGACAATTCTATTTTTGAATTCTCAAACATTTTTACTCATATTTCGAGAATTTTCCTAATATCTAAGGTAGGTTCGCCCCCGCTGACGAATTTTTCTGGATATACCACTGCCCGAATGGGTAAGCATTCCAGGGGCTCCCAGGGGCATAAATCAGTAAAAAACCAGTCGGGTTTTACCCCCTTATTTGTTTTTTCAAAATTTAACCATGCTGGGGTGTTGCTCGGGTATTCCCTTTTTGTGTTGTTACCCGACCGGGTGTGGTGTATACCCGGCCGGGTTTTTCCCAGTTTCACTTCAATTTTATTTTTTTTGCACACACACCGTAAACAAATGAAAATTATTCAAAAATCAAACTTGGGTTGCCTCCCAAGAAACGCCTTATTTAATGTCGTGACACAACTTTATTTTTTGTTTTATTTTCTATTTTATGTGGGATCGTGAACATCCTTTATTTCATTTTTCCTCCTCGGCCTTTTCCAGTAAGGCCGGGATTTCGTCCTTGTTATCACTTCAACCCCAGGCGGGATCAATTCTCTTTTTGAAAATTTGAGCAATTCCTCCCCTATCAATGGTGATTCCATATGCTCAATTTGCTCTTCTTTTTCAAAAAGTGTGATTTTATTAGCTTTTTTTTAACAAAAACATTTGGTGCTTGTGGTTCAAAAACATTTAGAGAACAAAGAGATTGGTCTTTAATATGTTTTTTCGTAGAATCAAAGATGTTGAATTCTACTTTTTGGTTATCGAACTCTAAAGTTAATGAACCATTAGACACGTCTATTTTTGTTTGGGCAGTTTTTAAGAAAGGTCTTCCCAAAAGGATGTGTGTAGCTTGGTTATCGGCTTCCATTTCAAGAATATACAAATCAACAAGGAAGACCAGATTTTCAACTTTTACTAGTACGTCCTCTACGACACCCTTTGAGTATGTGGTAGACCTATCTGCCAATTGAATTATTACTCCGGTTTCATGCATTGGGTCAAGTTTTAGGGACTTGTATAATGAATATGGAATACCATTTATTGAAGCCCCCAAATCTAACAAGGCTCTAGGAAATAAAGTGTCCCCTATTTTGCATGGGATAGTGAAAATGTCACGCCCCAGACCTATCCGGACACGTCAACAATCCGTCGTACAATATGAATAGTCAACCGCAGTCTAACTCATCCATATTATACAAGGCGTCTCGAATATGATTCACACATAAGTCATCCATAAACATACATAATAAGCAATTCAATACGCAGCGGAAAACATAGTTTAAAAACAAATGCCACACGGGGCAAACATGAGCACGCAGGCTCTATAGTGAAAATATCCATGAGCATGTTTATTAATGTTTAAAACAGAATGGAGAAAGCACGAACCAAGTCTTCTCTCCAAGATGATCACTCGAGCAACGAGCACAGGAAACAAGCTCTAGCCTCAACCTGAAATGGTGGTGGGACGCCCCTGAAGGGGTCAGCACTCTATAGGGCTATAAAGTGCTGGTGTGGATGGCATCTAATAGATATACAACATGTATTTCAAACACAAGACCCTCAAATAGGGTGATAATATAATCTAGGCCGTAACCCCAAGTTACCCGTAGGCCCGTAGGCCCAAGGTTTATTTTCAAAACATCACCCAAACCCCGTGACCCCTAGTCACGACAATACATAGGGTTCAACCCTAACACGTATGTTTGCATTTCTCGAGTCCAACTCGACTACATCACCATTCAAATCAATCACAAGTTAATCACTTCACCAATCTCCAATGTCATGTTCACCCATGCAATTCTAGAGCATCGGGCTCAAGTACATCTCCTTACATGGGCTCAACCTAAACCTTATGTCTACCAGTTAATTACTCCACCAATCTCCAGTGTCATGTTCACCCATGCAATTCTAGAGCATCGGGCTCAAGTACATTTCCTTACATGGACTGAACCTAAACCTTATGTCTACCCAATGCAATTCTAGAGCATCGGGCTCAAGTACATCTCCTTACATTGGCATAGACCCCCAATTCCTAAGCACTCGCTATGCCTAGAATTGTAATATCAATAATCTATTTTGGGACATCCTTACGGACTGCCTCATCATGATCTTACATCATATTACGTCAATTTAGTCACTTGAACCACAATCAAGTACATCACTTACAATCAAATCCTTGGATTCAATTCCTTAACAATTACAAACAATCATTAACTAGTATTTCAATACTATTAAGATTATTCCCATCAATCATATATTTAATTTGTAAATCCATACATATTTAGAGATATGTAGCAACAACTTAATCATCCAAGGTAATACATAAATAATCATTTATATACCTACACCATGGTTTAAAAAGGCGCTTATGAGGTGAGTTCTGAGGCACGCCTCAAGCTGAGGCGTACTGGTTGGGTATCAAAGCGTAGGTTTTTTCGCAGGTAAAGAGGCTTACGTCTCATAGATTGAGGTGCACGCCTTGAGGCGCGCCTTGAGGCGTTTGTTGAGGCGCACGCCTTGAACACTTGCGCAGTGACTTAAAACAGGTCCAAGTATTTCATTTAAAAAAAAGCCCAGAATTCTTTCTAAATAGAAGTCCATATACTAAACCCTAACAAGTCTTATTTCATTCAAATCCTGATAAGGATTTGAAGGATTTGAACCTTAACGTATACTTTCTATTCACCTACGCAAAGAAATCTCTCTTCTCCTGCGACATCTCCTTACAACAGCCCAAAAGCTTCCAGGTAACTTTTCTTCTCCATCTCCTTCTCTTTCTCCTATTCTTATTCAACTCCTTTCCTTCATTTCTTCTCCTTCACTGCTTTTTATCGTTCTCTTACAGAACTGTTGTTCTTCTTCTCCTTCAATGCTTCTTATCATTCTTTTACAAAACTGTTGTTCATGTTTTCTAATTTGTAAAGGATTTACTTTGCTTCCTTTGTCATGTCATTAATAATACTTCTGTGTAGATTTAGTTTAATGGTGAGAGGTTCAAAGAAAAGATGTCATGCTTCTACTGCTACACCTAGTTCTGAAGGTCTTGGTGATGAAATTTGTGTGGGTTGTTTCTGTGTGTTTGTGAGACTGTGATGTGTCTGTTTTTGTGAGATGTTTCTTTTTGTGTGTTTGAAGCCTAGTGACTTACTGGTAATAGGTCACATGTATTTGTGTCTCACACTTTTTGGACTTATAATTATGGATATCCTTTACTTCTTGAGTTATTTGTTACTAGTTTAGTTATATCAAGTTTTATATGTCTGTATTTTTTTAGGCTTACGCCTTAATACGCCTCAAGGATTACGCCTCGCCTCTTAGGAGCAAACCGCCTTGAAACCCGAACCCGCCTTTTTAAACCTTGACCTACACAATTCACACATGAGCAAAAATGCCTATTTCACACAATAGTTCATTTAACTCCATTTTTATCAATATGATTTCCAAATCATTTGCAATTTCATTCCTTATCTAGTATATTAATATTTAATCAATAATCAGTCATTATAATCCATGAAAAACACGATTTAGGCATTTAGGTAATCTCATGCTTAACCTACAAGTTGTAAGCAACTAGATGTCGATCCTCACCTCAAATGAGCTTTAAACGTTTCCTTTTTAATCCAATGCTCAAAGCTTCGGCCAAGGAAGTTTGAGAACTGATTCTTTGCCTAGAATTGATGTTTAGACAGCCTCCTCAAGGTGCTAGTTCAATACTTA